GCGCCCGGCCCCAGCCTAATTTTTTAATTTTTTTGTATTTTTAGTAGAGACGGGGTTTCACCATGTTAGCCAGGATGGTCTTGATCTCCTGACCTCGTGATCCACCTGCCTCAGCCTGCCAAAGTGCTGGGATTACAGGTGTGAGCCACCACACCTGGCCAAGAATTAATTTTTTGGAATTTTGAGTGTGTGTGCCGTTATTTGGTTGCAATATTGCAGTGGAGTTTTTTTGTTGTTGTTGTTTTAGAGGGGACAAGATCTCTCACTTTGTCAAGCAGACTGGAATGCAGTGGCACAGTCTCAGCTCACTACAGCCTCAAACTCTTGGGCGAGTCTCCCACCCTGGCTTCCCAAAGTGTTAGGATTACTGGTGTGAGCCTAGAGTACCATTTTGCTACTTACAAATCTTTAGTCATTTATATATTTAGCAAACGTGTGGAAAAATAAGTGAATGTTTCGTTATTGGCTTGATGGTGGACATTTATGGAATGGCTCAGTTAGTGACATGACATTAACAGGTGTTTTGTTTCTTTCCCAATTTTTTCTGTCTTCAGTTTTCCCTCATTTTATTTTTTATAATCTATGTGTATTTGTATGAATTGAGTGTTTCACAAAATGATTTATGCTTTTCTTTCAGAATGATTACGGACCTGAAGCCAAAGAACAAGATGCACTAGTGGATGGATTGCTGACCAGGGGCTTGAGAGCTGGATTCTGTTTTCCCTCCTCAAACTGACTTTGCAGCCACGGAGAGGTAAGTGCTATTTCCATTTTTTTCTATCTTAAAAATGGTAGTAATATAATCCTTCTGGAGTTAGAGGATTTGTTGGCTAATTCTTGGGTATAGAGGATGCAGGAATCAGGTGATTGAGAGCATACAGGCTTCATAATCAGAGTCCTGGGTTTGAAACTCTTAACGATGATATATTAGCTGGGTAATAATAGGGCAAGTTACTTTAACCTGTCTACTCCTGTAGTCCTCACTCGTGAGAGAATAACACCACCAATCTCAGAGACTATTCTCAGATTTAATGAGAATGTGTTTTGTAAAGCGTTAAGTACTATTCTGAACATGTACATAGAAAGATCTCAGGAAATTGTGGTTTCTTTTCTGTAGAAACCCTTGAAATGTATATTTTGATTATTGGCAAATGAACTGAAAAGAAAGTCCATGATCTGTGGCTACTTGTAATTTTGATGAGAAACAGGTGGAATCCTGTTATTGGGTAACCTGGTATCCTGGATAAAAATTGTCATAATTTGAGTTAGCCTAGCTTATTGCCCATTTTGCATCAGAGAGTGACAATAATTATTATTTTAATTTAGCCTATAATTTCTGCTATAAAATATAATGGATATTATATGAAACTTGGAACAGGCCTCTTATAAATATTGGAATCTGCTGTGCTTTGGGATCTCATAAACAACAAAGTGAGATTCTGGTTGTAAAAATTATCTCTTCTCACGGTATCAGAAAGCACATCTTTTTTAGACCCTAGAAAAATGTGAAAATAATTTAATTGTACATGGGTAATGGCAAAAAGGAATGTAGAAGTGGAAATTACAAATGCCAAGATTAGATAAGCTTATATGAATGAATCATCTAAATGACTACTGAGATTTTTCTTACAAGCTCTGCCTGGAGCAAATAAAGAGAAGGGAATAGGAATGAAAGTTTGTTATTCTTCAAACCTTTATTTTCCAAATGGGCAACTTGTTTTCCTGCTAGATGGGAAGTACAAGGTCTGTGGTAGTATTCTGTCGCTCCAGAAATAACTTATGCCCTGCAGGTTCTTTCAGGAGTGTTGACACAGAGTGCATACTAATAAGTTGCTGAAAAAAGAAATAATGCTGATTTAAAAACTATTGAGAAATCTAAGCTTTAAGAGTTTAGGGAATGGGTTTATAGGAACATGTTAATCATTTTCAAGTGTAATGACTAGCTTAATTGCTTAGATCCCTGTTTCTCAAATTGGGATATGAATACTCTTAGGGAATCAGGTGGTATGATTTCAGATTACTTGGAGTCACAAGATAGACATGACCCCTCTTCTTAGAACTTCAGTTATGCTCATTGAGGAGGTGCTGAGTTAAGTAATTTAACTGGTAAGTGATTAAATACTAAATATTGGCCGGGCACGTAGCTCACGCCCAGTACTTTGGGAGGCCAAGGCAGGCGGATCACTTAAGGTCAGGAGTTCAGACCAGCCTGGCCAACATGGTGAAACCCCATCTCGACTAAAAATACAAAAACTAGCCGGGTGTGGTGGTGGGTGCCTGTAATCTCAGCTACTTGGGAGTCTGAGACAGAAGAATTGCTTAAACCTGGGAGGTGGAGGTTACAGTGAGCCAGGATTGTGCCACTGCACTCCACTCTGGGCGACAGAGTGACTTTGTCCGCCTCCTCCTCGCCCCCGCAAAAAAAAAAGCCAGGCGCGATGGCTCATGCCTGTAATCCCAGAACTTTGGGAGGCCGAGGTGGGTGGATCACGAAGTCAGGAGTTCGAGACCAACCTGGCCAACATGGTGAAACCCCATCTCTACTAAAAATATAAAAAATTAGCTAGGTGTAGTGGCGGGCACCTGTAATCCCAGTTTCTTGGGAGTCTGAGGCAGGAGAATTGCTCGAACCCGGGCGGTGCAGGTTGCAGTGAGCCGAGATCACTGCACTCCAGCCCAGGCAACAGAGCGAGACTGTCTCAAAAAAACAAAACAAAACAAAACAAAAAAATTAGCTGGATATGGTAGTGCGTGCCTGTAATCCCAACTACTCGGGAGGCTGAGGCAGGAGAATCACCTGAACCAGGAGGCAGGCAGAAGTTGCAGTGAGCCAAGATCACACCACTGCACTCTAGCCTGGGTGACAGAGCAAGACCCTGTCTCAAAAATATATATATAAAAAAATATTGTAATATTAAAACAGACATTTTTGGAGCAGAATGAAAACTGTATGATTAAGATAACACAGGTCTTCAACAAAATGAGGCATGAGTGCCTGAGGGTGAGAAGTTCTCTTTGTATAGGTTCTATAGTGGATACATTTGAGAAACAATACATTTGAGCTATAGAACAGCTCTGCAATCCTCCTTACTTTGTCCTTGTCGTATTTGTGTAGGGAAAAACTCTCAAGCCCAGGTTTTTCCTTTGCTTTCACACAACAACCACCATCAACACAAAAGAAGACTTACGTGGCTGGGTCCAGTGGCTCAGCCTGTAATCCCAGCACTTTGGGAGGCTGAGGTGGGCAGATCGCAAGGTCAAGAGATCGAGACCATCCTGACCAACATGGTAAAATCCCATCTCTACTGAAAATACAAAAATTAGCTGGGCGTGGTGGCGCACGCCTGTAGTCCCAGCTACTCGGGAGGCTGAGGCAGGAGAATCGCTTGAACCCGGGAGGTGGAAGTTGCAGTGAGCCGAGATCATGCCGCCGTACTCTGGCCTGGTGACAGGGTGAGATTCCATCTCAAAAAAAGGAGAAGACTTTCGTGACCAAAGATGGGGTGGAGGGATTTTCCCCACACACCAAACGGTGGATACCAGCTAGGTGTCCTCCAGTTCAGTTCCAACACCATCTACCCAAGATGGTGTCAGATCCCACACGTTTAGGGTTCAGTCCCACCCATCCGTCCTACCAGTCACAAGCCCAGTCCTTCAGAGCTTCTAACCAACTGGCTTCAAGTTGAGATTCCCACGACCTCTTTCTTGGGTTCCATTAATTTGCTAGAGCAGTTCACAGTCCTCAAGGAAACACTTCTTTAGATTTGCCAATTTGTTAAGAAGATTATTTATTTTTGAGACAGTCTCACTGCATTGCCCAGGCTGGAGTGCAGTGGCGCGATCTCTGCTCACTGCAACTTCCCCGTCCCAGGTTCAAGCGATTCTCCTGCCTCAGTCTGCCGAGTAGCTGGAATTACAGGTGTCCACCCCCATGCCCAGCTAATTTTGGTATTTTTAGTAGAGATGGAGTTTTGCCATGTTGGCCAGGCTGGTCTCAAACTCCTGACCTCAGCTGATCCACCCAATTCGGCCTCCCAGAGTGCTGGGATTATAGGCATGCACCACTGCACCCAGCCAAAAGCGTCTATTCTTTTTCTTTTTTTGAGATGGAGTCTTGCTCTGTTGCCCAGGCTGTAGTGCCGTGGTAAAATCCTGGCTCACTGCAAGCTCTGCCTCCCAGGTTCACACCATTCTCCTGCCTCAGCCTCCCGAGTAGCTGGGACTACAGGCGCCCACTGCCATGCCTGGCTAATTTTTGTATTTTTAGCAGAGATGGGGTTTCACCTTGTTAGCCAGGATGGTCTCAATCTCCTGACCTTGTGATCTGTCCACTTCGGCCTCCCAAAGTGCTGGGATTACAGGCATGAGCCACTGCGCCTGGCCAAAAGCATGTATTCT